GCCCCCCGCAGGTACCGGCCGCCCCCGCCCCGGCCCCGGGGCGCGCGCCTCCCCCGGCCCCGACCCCTGGGCTGCAAAATGAATGAAGCAACTTTGCCATGACTTCCCCTGCCTGGCAGGCGGCACTGAAAACGATAGAAACTTCTCTGGCGTCCCCGCCGTGCTCCCCGCCGGGACGTGGACCGCCAGCCGGGCGGGAGCAGCACCCACATGTGCAGTGAAGGCGCGGGGTGTCCGGAGGGCTGCGTGGGGACGGTGGGTGGGAGCCGGGGGGCCGGGACCGTGTGCCATCTAGCATCCCGTGAGGTCAGGGAGCACCTCCGATGAGGTCCTTTTTCTCTTGTTTAAGGATTTATCGTGCGTGTGTGTGTGTGTGTGTGTGTGTGTGTGTGTGTGCGCGCCCGTGTGCCCATATGTCCCATATGTGCAGCACCCACGGAGGCCACAAGAGTGTGGCGGAGCCTCTCTATACCTGGATTTCGTCACAGGTGGTTGGGAGCGGCCTTTTGGGGGTGCTGGGAACCAAACTCGGGTCCTCCGAAGACCAGCGAGCGCCCTTCACCCCTGAGCCCCTGTGGGGCCCAAGCCTCTTAATTCGGGAGAACAAGGGTGCAGGCCCGTTGGGAGACCCACCTTTCCCTCCCAGGCCTGGGGAGGATGAGGGCAGGGATCCCAGTGTCAGTGTGGACAGCGCAAAACGTTTAAATTGTATTATCGTGTGTGTGTGTGTGTGTGTGTGTGTGTGTGTGTGTGTGTGTGTGTCAGAAGACAGCTTGTGAGTCGGTTCTCTTTCCACCTCCGGGCGGGGATCAAACTCAGGTCCTCAGGGTTGGCAGCAAGCGCCTTCACCTGCTTAGCCATCTGGACAATTCCTGGATTTGCTTAATTCAGAAAAGAACTGATCCAGCCTCGGCAACTTGGCAAGGTCCTGCCTTAAACAGTAAAGAGGGCCGGGGATGTGGCCAGCGTGTGTGCCAGGTCCCGGGTTCCCAGGTCCCGGGTTCCCCGCCTAGCCAGTGGGAAGAAAAAAGCGCTGTGACTTGTGTCCGGTGTCTTAGACCGTGGCCCGGTGTGTGCCACCTCCTTGCATTTTCTCATACCTGCGGATTGTCCCCCAGTTGTGGTCATGGGAATAGGAATAATCAGTATTACTCTTGCCTCAGGAGCTCGAAGATGACCTCAAGCGGAGACGGTAATCCTAATGTTTACAGAAAGATGTTGAAATCCTGGCTGCTCCAGAATTTTAGGACTCTCCCTGTCTGTTCTCACGGCAGGCCCTGCCCTCACTTCTAAAGCCCTTCGTGTCTGTGTGTGTGTGAGTGTGCACATGTGGGCGTGTACTCGAGGATGGGTTGACAGTATTTTCCTCAATCGCTGCCCAACTTCTTGCTTTTGAGACGGTTTTTTCTATGTAGCCCTGGCTGTCCTGGAACTCACTCTGTAGACCAGGCTGGCCTCGAACTCACAGAGATCCGCCTGCCTTCCAGAGTGCTGGGGTTAAAAGTGTGCGCCACTACACCCAGCCATGGTTTCGATTTTGAGACAGGGTCCGTGTGCCCCAGGCTGGCCTCATTGATATGTAGTCATGGATGACCCTGAACTCTGTCCTGCCTCAGTTTCCCGAGTGCTGGGACGAGGGCGTTGTGCACGCGGTGAGTGCTCACCCTCCGAGCCACGGCCCCCATCCCCATTTTTGTTTTTATGAGAAAAATGGTTGCCTTGTAGTCTCTGTTTGGGCCTCAAACGTGGAATCCTCCTGCTTCAGCCTCCCGAGTGCTCTGAGAACAGGCACCCGTACCGCACCCAGTCCATCTTTGTGAAAACACCATCCTGGTGGGCAGTGGCCTTCCTGTCCCTTCCCACCCTTGCCGTCTGCCCTTGTCAGTGAGGCCGGAGGTGGGCGGCAATGGCCTTAATGACACCTCGGCAATGCCGGGGGTGTGGAGGACCACACCTAACCCTGATGACATGCTGCTGGATGGCTGTGGTGCCAGCATGGTGTGGAGAACAGGACCAGTGGCAAGACAGAGTTCTGGAAATCCCTCAGGGCTGGCCTCTCAAGACCTCACAGCTGGCCAGAGCCTGCACTTTATTTCTGGGATGGCGTTTGCCAAAGCAGTAGGATCCCTCGGCAGTGATGTCCCCACCCAGAATCCCCAGTGAGGGGCTGGGGCGTGGTCAGGGCGCTGTCCCTGGCCTGCACATACTCCCTGCTCATGGCCTCGTTACTTGAGCAGGTCCTGGGAGGACGATGGTGGACAGGCTCCTTAGGTACAGACTCGGTGCTTCCCACAAGCCCCTGGGCCTCTGGCTCATGATCCCACGCTTCTCCTTCCTGCAGCCTGTGCTGGGGACGTCGTGGACGCAGCGTCCCCATGCTCCACGGTGAATCATCTACGCTGGGACCTGAGTGCACAGCAGATCCAGGCCCTGACCAAGCAGCTCATAGAGCAGACGAAGTGTGTGTACGACCGCGTGGGCGCCCAGGACTTCGAGGATGTGTCCTACGAGAGCACGCTGAAGGCGCTGGCCGACGTCGAGGTGACGTACACGGGTGAGCTCCGTCGGTCCCTCGTGTCTGGGGAGGCCGGTGAATGGTGGGAGCCGGCAGGGTGGCCTGCCACTCAAGGCGGGCGTGGCAGTGGACAGGCCTGTCCCCCTGGGCCGGTGGAAGCAGTCTGTGCCTCCCTGCAGCGTGGGCTGAAGGACGCAGCTCAGGTGACAGACACCTCTGAAACCGAGTCCCTCGTGGCTTCTGGGACACTGGGTGTCAGCTCCTGTCTGAGCTGCCAAGCAGGCTTTGTCCAAGTTTGTTTTCTTTCTTTTAAAGATGTGTTTATTTTTAGGCCAGTCTTCGTGGCCTATACCCTGTAATTCCAGCAGCTGGGAGTCAGACTGAGGTGGACCTCTGAGTTTGAGGCTAGCCTCATCTACATAGCAAGACAAAAAACATACAAGCGACCAAAATATTTTTATTTTTTGTGTATGAGTATGTTGCCTGTGTGTGTGTGTGTGTGTGTGTGTGTGTGTGTGTGTGTGTGTACCCACTGAGGCCAGAAGGGGGTGTCGGGTCCCCTGGAGCTGGAGTCACACACAGTTGTGAGCCGCCACGCTGACGCAGCTTACATTTGTCCGTTCTTCTTCCACCACCGAGTGGACCACACTGGGGCTGTGGACCTGCTGGCACACACCACCACTCACTGTGCCAGCTCACTAGCCTTTATTCTGAGTCCCCTCTGTGCCTGCCAGGCAGGGCTACGTCCCGGTTGTCCGGCTGCCTTGGCATCGCACAGGGCACACCTCCACTCAGCCGGGCGTCTCCTTCCTGTGACTGGAGCACATTCCTGCTGCCGGGATGTCTGTGATCGTCCGTGTGTGGGTTTTCCTGTCTCGGCCTCTGCCAGCAGAGGACCCTCTCAGGCCGGAGCCCTGGCCATCGGTCTCAAGTGTTCTCCTGTCACCCGCCACGCTCTGTCTCTAACACGATGCTACACGAGCCTGTTGCCACCCAGCACGATGGCAGCTTCCTCCTCAGACCCACCAGACCCGAGCAGCCCAGTCCCAGGGCCACTGTGTCCCAAGCCCCTCTCTGGGCAGGAAGAGGGGCAGGAGAGGCATGTTCAGGCCATGGAGGCCGCTCTGCCTCAGGTCCAGCAGGGCCTCTCCGCCTGCGTCCCGGGTGTGGTCCAGATGGGCCTGCGACCAGCATCCTGTGGCTGCCCATCGGCCG